CTCCTGTCGCTGCAGTTTCAGGAGATTTAATGTGTCTGGCTTTCCCCCACCCCACACAGACACATAATTTAAAAAAAATGGTTAATTTTATGCTATGGAAAGTTTTATTTAAATGACACCAGTAGCTTCTATTTTGAATTTTAAGGCCATCTTTCTTTTAAACAAGTGTCTGGTGCTCTGCCTTGATTCTAAAATGGCCATAATATGAGGTAGATAACCTTTTTTTTTTTTTTAAACATATGAAGGGACTCCCAAGACATTTTTTTTTTCCAGTTTGCTCAGGATTACCCAACTGAGAAGTTGTGGGGATTGAATTTGGATTCCTGTGTTTTAACTTCACTTTAACTTTAGCTTGAGTTCCCCTGCCCTCCCAAACCCCCCAGGCCTTGGTGTTGTGTAAGTTCCTGAGTCCTTCCAGACCTGCTAACCAGCAGTCCAGGGAAGTAGCTCCACGTCTAATGACTGAGAACCTGTGGGGGTTTAGATACTATCAGCTGTGTAGCATCTTTTGGACCCTGTGCTGGCTAGTTTTATGTCAGCTTGACCCAAGCTACAGTCACTGGAAAGGAGGGAGCCTCAACTGAGAAAATACCTCCATAGGCTTGCACTGTAGGCAAACCTGCAGGGCATTTTCTTAATTAGGGATTGGTGGGGGAGGGGATAGTTCACTGTGGGTGGAGACACCTGCGGGCTGGTCGTTCTGGGTTTCAGAAGGGAGCAGGCGAAGGAAGCCAGTGACCAGCACCCCTCCATGGCCTCTGCAGCAGCTCCTGCCCCCCGAGTTCCTGTCCTGTTCTGCAGTGATGGACTATGATATGGAAGTATAAGCCCAAGAAACCCATTTCATCCCTCAACTTGTTTACAGTCATGGTGTTTATCACAGCAGTTAGAAAGCTTGACGAAGATAGAACCTATATCCTATACACAAGACTTTCCGGGCCTCACATTCAGGCAGCATCCCAAAGTCAGAGATAAAGTGTCCTAAAGTGGAAGGGAGCTAGGAGGAAGCTCCAGGGCATACCAGAATCTTAAGTTTCATATGGAGTTGGCAAGAGCCTTCCCTGTGTCCTGTGCCAGGGTTGAATGATAGTAGGCTCCTTTTCGGAAGCACCACGTTAGGTACTGCTAAGGTTTCTTTTGAGCAGCAGCCAACTGCTGTACAGATAAAGAGGCAGTAGGTCATTATGTACTCAGGCAGCTGGAGTTACAGAGGTTGAGACACCTGACATGAGTGTTAGGGACGGAATTTGGGACCCTTGGATGAGCTGGCTCTGCTCCTAACCATTAGGGTGTCCTGGAGCTTAGATGGGCATCAGACTCTGGCTCTCTTTATGCGCCCCCCTCCCTCTGTGTGTGTGTGTGTGTGTGAGAGAGAGAGAGAGTGTGTGTGTGTGTGTGTGTGTGTGTGTGTGTGTGTGAGTGAGAGAGAGAGAGGGGGGGAGGGAGGGGGAGAGAGAGAGAGAGAGAGAGAGAGACAAGAGAGAGACAGAGACAGACACACGGAGGGAGGGAGGGATCCTGTAGATGTCTGTGTGGTCAGCCTGCATGTGAAGATCAGATGACAGCTCCAGATGTTGACTCTCAGGCACCCCCACATTATTTGGCCTGGAGCTTTGTCATAAAGCCCAAGCTAGCTGTCCCTTGAACTTCTGGAGATCTGTTTCTTCTCTCTCCTCACCTTCTCTGGCATCTCAGGCGTTTATGTCATCGTGCTTGGCTTTTTACATGGGTCTTAGGGGTCTAAACTGAGTCCTTACACTTGTAAGGCAAGTGCTTTACTGACTGAGCCATTTTCCCATCCCTGGCCTGGAGCTTTTTATCACCTCCCCCTCCTGAATGCTGTGATCACGGTGCTAGCTTGGAGCTGGCTGTCCAGGGCTTCAAAGAGAATCTCTTCATCATTCCCAACAACCTCTCCCATGGCCGTTTTCAGACTGTTCTGGTAGCTGAACAGGGGGAAGGTAGCTTGAGTTTTAAAGGACAGTAAACTCATCCTGTCTCTTCAGTCTAAGAGATGGCAGTAATGTTTATTAAAAACCCTCGGATCCCTGTGGCAGTATAAATGTGAGCTCCACAGTACGTGGGGTCAGAGGTCAACTGAGCAGGGGTTGGGGTCTTGGCTAGTTCATCAGGAACTTTGTTCCATGTCTTACCAGACAGCTTTGTGAAGATTCATTTATAGTGGCAACCAGAATTAAATAGTAAACAGGGTGGGGAGTGTAGGGTGTTCTTTCCAACTGTTCAGTTTGGTTTTTTTTTTTTTTTTTTTTTTCTTAAACAAAGTTTATACATGATCTGAATAAAACCATTCTATGTTCCGTCATGGTCACTGGTCAAAGTACACATTACATCAAGGAGGTTTTTTTCAAGGAGGTTTTTTTTTTTTTAAACAACAACAAAAACCCAGGGTATCTTAGTTCTCTTTCTGTGAAAAAGACACTGTGACAAGGCATCTCTTATAAAAGAAAGCATTTAGTTGGTGGCTTGCTTACAGCTTTGGAGGTTTGGTCTGTAATCCTGGTGGAAAGCTGACAGGCATGGTTCTGGAGCAGTAACTGAGAGCTTTACATCCTTTGGATCTGTTGACAGAGAAGCGACTGTGGGCTTGGGGGCTTTTGAGACCCTAGAGCCCACCCTCTCCTCCTAGAAAACCTAATCCTTCCCAAACAGTTCTTCTAACTGGGGAGCAAGCATTCAAATAGATGAGCCTATGGGGGCCATTCTCATTCAAACCACCACACAGGTGTCACTATGTAGACCAGGCTGGCTTCTGACTCAGAAATCTTCCTGCCAGTTCTGGGATCTAAGATGTGGCTGCTGTGTTGGGAAGAAGTGGGTTTTGATTTTATTGTTTGTTTGTTTGGTTGGTTTTGTTTTTAATTTTTTAATATGATACATGTTAGGGTTGTGTTCTTTCAGTGGAATTGTCTTTGGATATTTTATTAGTCGTATTTTGAAATGTATAGATCTTAACTGCACAGCTTGACACCTTCTCTAGAGTGTGTGCACACACATCCGAAACAGCTGATCACAGGACTAAGTTCCTAGCCTGTCTGCACCGTGCTCCTCACTGTGCTCTCATCCACAGGGCCTGACCACTCACTCCACTTTGGACGCCTCTGCAGTGGCGTCAGGCAGCTTTACTCTAGCCTGGGTTCTTGTGCAGAGCCTGGTGGACAAGTTGTCCAACAACGAGATAACTTTGAGTAGATGGTTAGATGGTTTGGGCATAACACTGCCAGGAACATTTGGTCTGACCCTTGGGATACGTACATGTTTCTCCTGGTTGTTTGCTTAGCAGTGGAATCCCAGGGTTGTGAGCATGCAGGTCATAGTTCCAGCAGTCTACCCCACAGACTTCCCATTTCCACCTGTTGGTACGGAATAAAGCAAAAGCAGCAGTGGTTTAAGTGTGCCAGCACTGCAAGGTGAGCTCTATCTGGCAGGATCTGGTTACCCTGTGCTTCTCCCAGAGTTTCTAGAAGGAGTAACTCCTGGAAAGGAAGGTGGGGTTCCCCTGAGTGCCCCGATGCAGCCAAGGCAGAAGTGTGCAAACCTGAAACTCATTCTTGTCTCCTGGCCGTGTCACACTAAGACCTCCTGTTTGAGACAGGGGCTCCTGTAGCCCAGGCTGGTCTTGAACATGCTGCAGCTGAGGGTGAACTTGGATTTCCGATTTTTCAGCCTCTACCTCCCCCAGTGTGGGGAATATGTTTTCTTGTACTGTGGGTTGAACTCAGGGCTCCTCTAATTGAGCTACATTCCAGCCGCTGTCACGTTTTTTGGTGCTGTCTCCACTGCAGTATCAGTAGTGTGAGAGCAACCAAGAGAACAGAGGCCGTTCACTGGGCATAGCTGCAGCAGAGCGTCTTTGACTGGATATAGGTCAGAACCTGTGACGAATAAGCACAGCTGAAGTGAAACGGTGAGAGAGGGGCCTTCTGTTCAGTCTTGCCTTCTTACAAGAACCTTTTGATAGCAGCACTCGGCCGGCTTGCTTATGGGAGTGGCTGGTGAATACCCATACTGGCAGTTGGCAGGTTCTGGTGGGCCAGTGCAAGGGATGGTAGGCCCTGGTTTGAATTCCAGGGGCAGTAGGTACTGTCTTTCATGCCCCCTCCAAATCCAGGTTCCTTGTGGACAGTGGTGGCATTTCACTTATGCTTATGCTTCTTTAGTGCAGTTCGTGACTGCAGTTGCTTGGTGGAATTTTATTGAGGTGGTTGATCACATCTGACCCACAAAGACACAGATGCCCTGCTCAAACTGGCCTAAAAACCCCCACTGGGATCTGTTGACCCATGTGTTTGGGTCCATGGAAGTGTCCAGTAGGTGGTGCTCACTCTGGGCAGTGGTGTCACCCAGCTGGGACCTCATGCCTCAGTCCTGCTTGTCTGCTGGCTTTCCCCACAGGAGGTTGTCCCTGCTGTCTCTCTCTTCAGGAGAGGACAGCTAGCAGCTGCAGCCTTATGTTGTGCCAGCACAGCAGCGCTTGGAGAACACAGCATCTGTTCTGTGGTGGGCAGTGGAAGCTTGTTCTTAGTGGTCCAGACTGGGTCAGCTGAGCAATCTCGAGCAGTTACTGATTGCCAGTGGTCCAGACCTGTGTCCAGTGCCCACTCCTGTTCATCCAGCAGGTGTGCACTCATTGTTGAGCTAGAGCTGGGTTGTCAGCAGTGTCCAGCGTGGACTCTACTCTGGCCTCTCCAGCTTCTTGACTGTTAGAATGATGTTAATGGAGGCAAGCCAGCTGCCCTGGTGGGCTCTGGATCTGCCCAACTCATATTCAGACCACACCGCTGGCTAGCTGTGTCTCCTGGTGTGCTTAACTCGTTGGTCAACTAAGCTGGAGTGACTCCCCTGCCTCTGCTGTCCTTTACCTTCCTACTATGGCTCAGTTTAATTCCATCTACTGTGTTAGCTCTAATCCCCTCAGCCCAGATTTCTCTTCTAACTACAATGTTCTTATCAGTGACATTCATGTAAAGATGTTACTCGGCGTGCTTGCTTGGCCAGCATGTGGAGTGAAGTTGGTACAGTACTGAGAAGATTAGCATAGCCCCGTGCTAGGATGACATGCTAATTCTTGAAGCAATCCTTATTGTTTTTTGAAGTAAAGCATGAGAAGGTTGTGTTTCTCTCTGGCATCTCTAGTTATTAGTAAATTAGATAGTGACATTTGAAGATTGTGTTAGAAATGTCACACTTAAAGAAAAACCCTTTCATTGAGCTGTGATGGAGACACACATTTCCTCATAGCTGAAATGTGAAGGAAGAAGGACACACGGTTAATCTGAGAAACACTGAGAGACCAAAATGGCTACCCCACTTATTCTCTCCAGTATTACCAGAGATTAATGTCCCATGAGCTACAGAGGGAATGCTGTGCACAGTGCTGGGAGCTAAGGCTCTGGATTTCTCCTCAATTCAAAAACTCTGTTAAACCTTTGTTTTGATTTTAAAATCAAAATAAGTATGTTTATGCTTTTATTCTGGGATGAAATAAAGGAATTAGTGTAAAAAAGTTATTCCTGAACTACCAGGTCTTTGCTTGGGGGCCTTTTCCCATGATCTGTGTGTGTATTTACTAAAGCAAATTTGAATGTCTTTACTTGAAGGTTCTGCTCCTTGAAGAGGTATGGGTTTTGTTCATCCATCTATCCATCCATCTGTCCATCCGCCCTCTTATCCATCCATCCATCCATCCATCCATCCATCCATCCATCCATCCATCCATCTTCTCCTCAGTCCACACTATTCGTTAAGTGGCTTGTTAACACCAGACATTATTCTAAGTTCTGAGGATACAGCAGTGAACAAGGCAGAGTCTGACCGATTTGAGTAGATACTCACCGGGCAAACAAGTGCTCTGGAGAGAAGAAACCCTAGGCAGAGTGGAGAGTGTCTTCAAGGAGAGGGCTCAGTCTTACCTAGTGCTATCCTGCAAGGCTTTCTGGAAGGCCAAGCTGCTTGCAGAGGACTGGGGGAGGAGCTGGCAGAGCCTCTGGTGCCAGTGGCTTCATGGTTATGCAAGCTGAGTGGTCACATAGGTCCTACCCTGCACTTAGTTTAATGCTTGGAATTGTTAGTTATTTTAAATGATGTATGTATCTATATGTCAATCTGTGTATGGTGCCAGTAGAGGCACCGGATTCCCTGGAGCTGGAGTGTGGGGGGTTGTGAGCTATGTGACATGGGTGCTGTAACTGCTCTTAACCATGGAGTCCCCTCTCCAGCCCCTACAATTCTATTATTATTATTATTATTATCATCATCATCATCATCATCATCATCCCCTTAATTTGCAGCCCTGCAGTTGTTAAAATTGTCTTGTCTTAGGAACCCTCGCACGCTTGTTATCACATCAAGCTCCACAGTGTCTGCAGCAGACGCTGATGGTGGGCTGTGCTGTCACTTACCAAACAGTTCACATGCATGGTCCAGCGCTTCCTGAGCTGAGCCCTCTTCCTGGAGCACCTCTCCTGCCTTCTGTCCAGCCCAGATCCTGCATCTCCCATCCCAGCTTCGACTCAGCTGGGCTCTGAGAGCAGAGGCTGGCCTGTTTGCCACACCCAGCCTCCTGGGAGTCCTCACGTTCATAGCTGCCCTTCCTACCTCCCTTCTGCTGACCCTGGGATGGAGAGACCTGCTGTCTGCACGGCTTATCTCCATCCCCCATACCGCGCAGTCCCACCACGGGGATACATGGCGTCCAGTTTCACTTGTGGCTTGAGAAAGTAAGCTGGTAGACCGGGGACAGGCTCAGACACTGTCAGGATAGGCTCACGTGTTTGGAAAGAGTTGCAGATATTTCCTGGGAGATCACCAGCAGGTGAGGAATGAGAGTGAACCTCACAGTTTTGAAACCAGTTCTAAATGAATAAATCTCAGGTGTCTCCCAGGCATGGGCAGTGTGCAAGGTACTGGGCAGGTTAGCTTCTGTAGGAGGCAGTTGTCTCCGTGGGCAGTCCATGGCTTGATTGACTACTTCTGCTTGCCCTCGTAGCTGGGCTTGGGATTACGTTCGATGCAAAGAGATAAATCAGCTCTTTGTGCGATGCTTAGGAACTTAACCTCTCTTTATGGCAAGAGAAAGGATTCCTAAGCTCTAAATAGCTGACTTACTAATGAGGCCTGGGTACCTCGGGGACCATCTCCTGTATTTATTCTGTTTTATATGCGATGACTTATCTCCATAAAAGATTTACCTCTTTCAATATAGAGGCCGTTTCTCCTACATTTGCTAATAGCACCTCCCTTCCCCCAGCAGTAGGCATGTCCCTGAATTCACAATGTTTTGCACATACGTTAATTTAAGCTGGGTGGTATGCCTCCTGTACCGATATGTAGGGACTTCAGAAGAAGTCTGTGGTGTTAGCTCCCCTGCTGCCTCTGTTGGTATCTGATGCACTCTGACATTCCTGTTTGCTTCTGCAGGGGAAGGTATTTCAAGACAGAATGGGGGTCTATATTGACAGTGTCTGAGCCTGTCCCCAGTCTACCAGCTTACTTTCTCAAGCCACAAGTGAAACTGGATGCCATTCATCCCTGCGTTGGGACTGTGCAGTGTGGGGGGTTGAGATAAGCTGTGCAGACAGCAGGTCTCTTCATCCCAGGGTCAGCAGAAGCAGCCCCACAGATCTGTTTAGGCACCATCTCAGGAGAGCGCCCGAGTGGCAGTTGCCCCAGAGATATGTGTTTAGAAGTGCATCTTGGAGTCAGGTTCTTCCCCCTGCACTGATTTGGTCTGAGTAATTTTAATTATTCCTCTTCTGTTGAACAGGAGAAGGCAGATTAAGTTTCTAACACGATGGTACAAAGGCTGTCCATTTATGGAGTTAGACTTATAGTAGAACACAAGGACGTCAGCCTCTCTGGGGACAGATCTCGTCACAATTTGTCTCAGTGGTTTTTTGGAGTGAGGCCAATAGACTTTGGGAAAATCCAGTATGCACTGACCTTAACCATAACACAGCCCCTTTGTCTGATTTCTCTCTGGATTTTTCTATCTCCCCATGATTTAGGGTTGTGGTTCTCAACATGTAACTCACACAAAGCGTCCCTGAGAAAGATCTTGTAAGCCCTGCCCATGGAATTTTGGGCACTAGTTCTAGGAGGTGCCCTGAACATTAAAACAATGCCACATGTGATTTCAGTGTCAGAGTGAGAGTCACTGAGAGGCAGAGACTTGTTCTTGGCACCATAGTGAAAGCCAGAAAGCACATCCTCACCAGCAAGGTGCTTTCTTTTGTCTAGTGCTTGAGATTGGAGAGCTCCGCTGCCACCTTTTGTCAGCTGATGTTCTTAGAGTGTCACCTTGCCTATGCTGTTCTTTCCTGAGAATATTCATGTTGTCTGTCACTGGCTTGTCCTGGTATGGCTTGTAACTGCTGGCTGATGATGTGCTCCAGGGGCCTAGGTGGCAGCCAGACAGCGTCCTTGGTATCAAAGGGCTTTTTTCACACACAAATACAAGCAGTGTCTGCATATTCTCTGCACCGAGGGAGGAGTGGCTTTGTGTCATCATAGGACACTTCTGCGGCAGCTAAGTGCATGGAGTGGTTGCTGAGCCACAGCTTGGGTCAGGGTAGCGTCAGGTCCTGCCACAGGGTTGACCAAACTTGTAATGTAGCCTCTGGTAAGGTGTTTCCCACGTGGCCAAACATCACAACATGCTGACGCTTATGGGCCCATGTCCTCCATTGGAGGTTAGAGTAGCATCTCTCTCTTCCCCTGCATGCTCATAGACCGCCATGTTCAGTGAATGTTGGAAGGTAGTTTCTTCTCTGCAGCTGTGCACTAAGAACTCTTGGGGTTGCCTGTGTTCCGCACAGGATCACATGGGCTCACTGGTTGACTGGGGGAAGGCTGGACTTAATGGAGTCAGCTCTCTCTCAGGTGTAGACTCACATATGGCTTTAGTGGGTTGGCCACTCAGGTCAGGAGTGAGGCAAGTGGCCTTGTCCTCAGTGCAGACCCTTGAAATGAATGGCACTTTTGTGTGGCAGCCCCTCGGGCCAGAGGGAGCATCACATGGAAGTTAGTGTGTGATCTCCTGACCATGGTTGTGTGTGGGTCATGAGCTGCGGGTGCCTCTTTGGTGACTGGTCACCTTTCCCTCCTGCCATTCCCCAACCAGTGGTAGAACACGGAAGCTCAGCCTCACAGAAGCAGGGGAGGGGCCTTAGGCTGTTTTGAATTGACATCGTCAGTCATTCTATAGTTTAGAGGCGATCCTAAGAATGGTGATTTAAAAGAAAAAGTTAGCTCTGCAGTGTTGTTTACATTCTTACAGTTCAGCCTAGAAACAGTGGCTGGCCTCCAGATCTTACAAGTGGCCCAGCACAGAGTCTGTCTAACTGTTGGTGCAGTGACCCTAACAGTGCTGGTGGTCACTGCATCCTGGATTCTCTCTCCCCGTGCAGCACAGCAAACCTTCCGAGCGGTTAGGTGCCCTTTAGAGTTGGCGATGCTACTTTGTGTGGTGTGTGGGTCCTCCACTGTGTGGACTTAGCCTTGCTCTTGAGTCCTCCTGTCACTGCTAGCACTGTCTGCTTACAGTGGGGTGAGTTATGGGGCAGTGAGCCACCAACAGGCAGGCTTAAGATGATGGGGAGGTCTGTAGCATGAGGAAGAGAAAGGAGCTGGCACCCGGGCTCTGCAGGCCTTTCACAGCGGGACTGTCTTCCTTGTTGAGCATGGGAAGTATGCCAACAAAATAGGCATTTGTTGGGAGGCTGTGACTTCTGCCCAGAATAAAAGCTAAAGATGGCATTCTGTGTTCATCTCAAGGCCAGTCTGTAGTGTGGCCCACCATAAGAAGCCCACAGCGTGACAGAGCACGCCTCCCCTCCCTCATCCTGTCTCGCTTAGCTTCACCTGCGTTAGTTAACTTTGCCTGTGTGAGGATAAAGAGACTTTTCCTCTTGTTTCTTTACCATGTGGGCAGATACAATAATGTAGAGGAAAAGGCAGGAGGCCATCCAGGGTGGCTTTGTGAATAATAGCCTCTTACCTTACATGTGCCTGCTAGGCCACAGGCCAGCAGTGACTCCCACAGGGGCTTGAGATGTCTCCAGTTGCATCTAGCTGTCTGTGGTACTCTT